GTACCTCCATGGACCTCCTCTTCTCCCAGTACCTCCATGTGTCTCCTCTTCTCCCAGTATCTCCATGTGTCTCCTCTTCTCCCAGTACCTCCATGAGTCTCATCTTCTCCCAGTACCTCCATGTGTCTCCTCTTCTCCCAGTACCTCTATGTGTCTCCTTTTCTCCCAGTACCTCCATGTGTCTCCTCTTCTCCCAGTATCTCCATGTGTCTCCTTTTCTCCAAGTACCTCCATGTGTCTCCTCTTCTCCCAGTACCTCCATGAGTCTCCTCTTCTCCCAGTACCTCCATGTGTCTCCTCTTCTCCCAGTACCTCTATGTGTCTCCTTTTCTCCCAGTACCTCCATGTGTCTCCTCTTCTCCCAGTACCTCCATGTGTCTCCTCTTCTCCCAGTACCTCCATGAGTCTCCTCTTCTCCCAGTACCTCCATATGTCTCCTCTTCTCCCAGTACCTCTATGTGTCTCCTTTTCTCCCAGTACCTCCATGTGTCTCCTCTTCTCCCAGTACCTCCATGTGTCTCCTCTTCTCCCAGTACCTCCATGTGTCTCCTCTTCTCCCAGTACCTCCATGTGTCTCCTCTTCTCCCAGTACCTCCATGTGTCTCCTCTTCTCCCAGTACCTCCATGAGTCTCCTCTTCTCCCAGTACCTCCATGTGTCTCCTCTTCTCCCAGTACCTCCATGAGTCTCCTCTTCTCCCAGTACCTCCATGTGTCTCCTCTTCTCCCAGTACCTCCATGAGTCTCCTCTTCTCCCAGTACCTCCATGTGTCTCCTCTTCTCCCAGTACCTCCATGAGTCTCCTCTTCTCCCAGTACCTCCATGTGTCTCCTCTTCTCCCAGTACCTCTATGTGTCTCCTTTTCTCCCAGTACCTCCATGTGTCTCCTCTTCTCCCAGTACCTCCATGTGTCTCCTCTTCTCCCAGTACCTCCATGAGTCTCCTCTTCTCCCAGTACCTCCATATGTCTCCTCTTCTCCCAGTACCTCTATGTGTCTCCTTTTCTCCCAGTACCTCCATGTGTCTCCTCTTCTCCCAGTACCTCCATGTGTCTCCTCTTCTCCCAGTACCTCCATGTGTCTCCTCTTCTCCCAGTACCTCCATGTGTCTCCTCTTCTCCCAGTACCTCCATGTGTCTCCTCTTCTCCCAGTACCTCCATGAGTCTCCTCTTCTCCCAGTACCTCCATGTGTCTCCTCTTCTCCCAGTACCTCCATGAGTCTCCTCTTCTCCCAGTACCTCCATGTGTCTCCTCTTCTCCCAGTACCTCCATGAGTCTCCTCTTCTCCCAGTACCTCCATGTGTCTCCTCTTCTCCCAGTACCTCCATGAGTCTCCTCTTCTCCCAGTACCTCCATGTGTCTCCTCTTCTCCCAGTACCTCCATGAGTCTCCTCTTCTCCCAGTACCTCCATGAGTCTCCTCTTCTCCCAGTACCTCCATGTGTCTCCTCTTCTCCCAGTACCTCCATGAGTCTCCTCTTCTCCCAGTACCCCATGAGTCTCTTCTTCTCCCAGTACCCCATGTGTCTCCTCTTCTCCCAGTACCTCCATGAACCTCCTCTTCTCCCAGTACCCCATGTGTCTCCTCTTCTCCCAGTACCTCTATGTGTCTCCTTTTCTCCCAGTACCTCCATGTGTCTCCTCTTCTCCCAGTACCTCCATGAGTCTCCTCTTCTCCCAGTACCTCCATGTGTCTCCTCTTCTCCCAGTACCTCCATTGTCTCCTCTTCTCCCAGTATCTCCATGTGTCTCCTCTTCTCCCAGTATCTCCATGTGTCTCCTCTTCTCCCAGTACCTCCATGTGTCTCCTCTTCTCCCAGTACCTCCATGAGTCTCCTCTTCTCCCAGTACCCCATGAGTCTCTTCTTCTCCCAGTACCCCATGTGTCTCCTCTTCTCCCAGTACCTCCATGAACCTCCTCTTCTCCCAGTACCCCATGTGTCTCCTCTTCTCCCAGTACCTCTATGTGTCTCCTTTTCTCCCAGTACCTCCATGTGTCTCCTCTTCTCCCAGTACCTCCATGAGTCTCCTCTTCTCCCAGTACCTCCATGTGTCTCCTCTTCTCCCAGTACCTCCATTGTCTCCTCTTCTCCCAGTATCTCCATGTGTCTCCTCTTCTCCCAGTATCTCCATGTGTCTCCTCTTCTCCCAGTATCTCCATGTGTCTCCTCTTCTCCCAGTACCCCATGTGTCTCCTCTTCTCCCAGTACCTCCATGTGTCTCCTCTTCTCCCAGTACCTCATGTGTCTCCTCTTCTCCCAGTACCTCCATGAGTCTCCTCTTCTCCCAGTACCCCATGTGTCTCCTCTTCTCCCAGTACCTCCATGAGTCTCCTCTTCTCCCAGTACCCCATGTGTCTCCTCTTCTCCCAGTACCTCCATGAGTCTCCTCTTCTCCCAGTACCTCCATGTGTCTCCTCTTCTCCCAGTACCTCCATGAGTCTCCTCTTCTCCCAGTACCCCATGTGTCTCCTCTTCTCCCAGTACCCCATATGTCTCCTCTTCTCCCAGTATCTCCATGTGTCTCCTCTTCTCCCAGTATCTCCATGTGTCTCCTCTTCTCCCAGTACCCCATGTGTCTCCTCTTCTCCCAGTACCCTATGTGTCTCCTCTTCTCCCAGTACCTCCATGAGTCTCCTCTTCTCCCAGTACCTCCATGTGTCTCCTCTTCTCCCAGTACCTCCATGAGTCTCCTCTTCTCCCAGTATCTCCATGTGTCTCCTCTTCTCCTTGTACTTCCTCAAGTCTCCTCATTTTTGTATATTTTGTATAAAGAGAAAATGTTAGTTTTCTGGTATTTTCTTCAACTTTTCATGTTGGTTATTATGCGTGTGACAGTATACCTCTCGCATCTTACGTTGTTTTGTGATGTATTTGCTTTTGAAGAAAACTTATTTCGTCTGGACTCCTGATTCACACTCCTGCATTTGTTGCTCCTCTTCATTTGTTTTTGTCGTGTTTCCTTGTTATATATTCTTCTATTATGTTAATTTCCGTAGACCGTCTCATGTGAGGATTCTCAGTAGTGGGTAACTGTATATATTTTGTGTTCCTCACTGATTTGGGAAGGGTAGGTTAGGTTAGGTTAGGTTAGGGGACATTCTTTCATGGGTCCGTCATATTTCAGGTCTCTCACACACACACACACACACACACACACCTTCGCAAATAGAGTGGTAGACGGTTGGAACAAGTTAAGTGAGAAGGTGGTGGAGGCCAAGACCGTCAGTAGTTTCAAAGCGTTATATGACAAAGAGTGCTGGGAAGACGGGACACCACGAGCGTAGCTCTCATCCTGTAACTGCACTTAGGTAATTACACACACACACACACACACACACACACACACACACACACACACACACACACACACACACACACACACACACACACACACACACACACACACACACTCACCTGCACACTGTTAAGTATACCACCCGTGCTTCAAGTAGGTCTGACCTAGTACTGTGAGGGTGTAGGTCTAGCCTAGTACTGTGAGGATGTAAGTCTGGCCTAGTAATGTGATGGTGTAGGTCTAGCCTAGTACTGTGAGGGTTTAGGTCTGGCCTAATACTGAGAGGGTGTAGGTATGGTCTAGTACTGAGAGGGTGTAGGTGTGGTCTAGTACTGTGAGGGGGGTGTAGGTGTGGTCTAGTACTGTGAGGGTGTAGGTGTGGCTTAGTACTGAGAGGGTGTAGGTGTGGTCTAGTACTGTGAGGGTGTAGGTGTGGCCTAGTACTGAGAGGGTGTAGGTGTGGCCTAGTACTGTGAGGGTGTAGGTCTTGCCTAGTACTGTGAGGATGTAGGTCTGGCCTAGAAATGTGAGGGTGTAGGTGTGACCTAGTACTGTGAGGGTGTAGGTGTGACCTAGTACTGTGAGGGTGTAGGTGTGACCTAGTACTGTGAGGGTGTAGGTGTGACCTAGTACTGTGAGGGTGTAGGTGTGGTCTAGTACTGAGAGGGTGTAGGTGTGACCTAGTACTGTGAGGGTATAGGTGTGACCTAGTACTGTGAGGGTGTAGGTGTGACCTAGTACTGTGAGGGTGTAGGTGTGACCTAGTACTGTGAGGGTGTAGGTGTGGCCTAGTACTGAGAGGGTGTAGGTGTGACCTAGTACTGTGAGGGTATAGGTGTGACCTAGTACTGTGAGGGTGTAGGTGTGACCTAGTACTGTGAGGGAGTAGGTGTGACCTAGTACTGTGAGGGTGTAGGTGTGGCCTAGTACTGAGAGGGTGTAGGTGTGACCTAGTACTGTGAGGGTGTAGGTGTGACCTAGTACTGTGAGGGTGTAGGTGTGACCTAGTACTGTGAGGGTGTAGGTGTGACCTAGTACTGTGAGGGTGTAGGTGTGACCTAGTACTGTGAGGGTATAGGTGTGACCTAGTACTGTGAGGGTGTAGGTGTGACCTAGTACTGTGATGGTGTAGGTGTGACCTAGTACTGAGAGGGTGTAGGTGTGGCTTAGTACTGTGATGGGTGTAGGTGTGGCCATGTACTGTGATGGGTGTAGGTGTGGCCATGTACTGTGAGGGTGTAGTATGAGAGTGGATGAGATGTGCCGGACATGTTGGGCAGGAACTGCTAGTGGCATTAAAAGGGGGGCGTCGTATAGGTCTTGATCTACCCATATCCAACTTCAGGGTCACTCTTCCATTACATTCAGTATGTTTGTCCTCCTGGTCCCCCATATTCATGCTCACATACACTTTAGTTGGTGGTTTAGGATTAGCGGTGCAATAGTCTTCTCAGCTTGTTGGCGTCTTTTTGATTACTAACTCCTTAATATTCAATTGCCAATATCTTCACCACACTGAGAAGTTTACCTTCGCATGGTTCCTTAACAAGAAAGGGCGAGTTTGAGTTACATTTAGGGGTAGTTAGTGACCAGACTGGCTTGTCCGGAGGGGAAGGCTGTGTGTATGTGTAGCGACACCTTCGCTGCCGGGGGACGCCGGCTGGTCCCCGCCCCTGCAGCAGGTGTACTGACACGCCCTCCTGCAGGTGGTGGTTAACGCCCTGGTGGGAGCCATCCCGTCAATCGTCAACGTGTTGCTGGTGTGTCTCATCTTCTGGCTCATCTTCGCCATCATGGGTGTCCAACTCTTCAACGGCAAGTACCACAAGGTGAGTGTCACACTACACAGCCCTGGTCATGAGGGCGACTCTACTACTGCACAGTATCCCGCCAACACCACATGACAGTTGCACAGTTCCTCACCCCCACACCCACATGACAGTTGCACAGTTCCACCCCCACGCCCACATGACAGCTGCATAGTTCTACCCCAACACCCCAAATGATGGTTGCACAGTTCCACCCCTACACCCCACATGACAGCTACACAGTTTCACTCCCACACCCCACATGACGGCTGCACAGTTCCACCCTCACACCCCACATGACGGCTGCACAGTTACACCCCACACCTCACATGACAGTTGCACAGTTCCACCCCCACACCCCACATGACTGCTTCACAGTTCCACCCCCACACCCTACATCACAACAGCACAATACCACCACCACACATTACATCACAACAGCACAATGCCACCACCACCTACTACATCACAACTGCACAATACCACCACACACACTACATCACAACTGCACAATACCACCACACACACTACATCACAACTGCACAATACCACCACACACACTACATCACAACTGCACAATACCACCACACACCCTACATCACAACTGCACAATACCACCACACACACTACATCACAACTGCACAATACCACCACACACACTACATCACAACTGCACAATACCACCACACACACTACATCACAACTGCACAATACCACCACACACACTACATCACAACTGCACAATACCACCACACACTACATCACAACTGCACAATACCACCACACACTACATCACAACTGCACAATACCACCACACACTACATCACAACTGCACAATACCACCGCCACACACTATATCACAACTGCACAATACCACCGTAACATACTACATCACAACTGCACAATACCACCGCCACACACTATATCACAACTGCACAATACCACCGTAACATACTACATCACAACTGCACAATACCACCGTAACACACTACATCACAACTGCACAATACCACCGTAACACACTACATCACAACTGCACAATACCACCGTAACACACTACATCACAACTGCACAATACCACCGTAACACAGTACATCACAACTGCACAATACCACCGTAACACACTATATCACAACTGCACAATACCACCGTAACACACTACATCACAACTGCACAATACCACCGTAACACACTACATCACAACTGCACAATACCACCGTAACACACTACATCACAACTGCACAATACCACCGTAACACACTATATCACAACTGCACAATACCACCGCCACACACTATATCACAACTGCACAATACCACCGTAACACACTATATCACAACTGCACAATACCACCGCCACACACTATATCACAACTGCACAATACCACCGTAACATACTACATCACAACTGCACAATACCACCGTAACACAGTACATCACAACTGCACAATACCACCGTAACACACTACATCACAACTGCACAATACCACCGTAACACACTACATCACAACTGCACAATACCACCGTAACACACTACATCACAACTGCACAATACCACCGTAACATACTACATCACAACTGCACAATACCACCGTAACACACTACATCACAACTGCACAATACCACCGTAACACAGTATATCACAACTGCACAATACCACCGTAACACACTATATCACAACTGCACAATACCACCGTAACACACTACATCACAACTGCACAATACCACCGTAACACACTACATCACAACTGCACAATACCACCGTAACACACTACATCACAACTGCACAATACCACCGTAACACACTATATCACAACTGCACAATACCACCGCCACACACTATATCACAACTGCACAATACCACCGTAACATACTACATCACAACTGCACAATACCACCGTAACACAGTACATCACAACTGCACAATACCACCGTAACACACTACATCACAACTGCACAATACCACCGTAACACACTACATCACAACTGCACAATACCAACGTAACACACTACATCACAACTGCACAATACCACCGTAACATACTACATCACAACTGCACAATACCACCGTAACATACTACATCACAACTGCACAATACCACCGTAACACAGTACATCACAACTGCACAATACCACCGTAACACACTACATCACAACTGCACAATACCACCGTAACACACTACATCACAACTGCACAATACCACCGTAACACACTACATCACAACTGCACAATACCACCGTAACACACTACATCACAACTGCACAATACCACCGCCACATTAGCACTTTAAACATGCCTCGCAAATGATGAGGTTCTAATATTGTTCCATCAGAGCAAAGAGAACCACTGTTCTACTTTGTAATGCTTCACCCACGTACTACAAATACAAATAATTGCCAACAGAACCTAAACACCTAACCTAACCAGTGCCTAAATGTGCACAATGTGGTAATATATAACAATATGAATTTAGTTTTGATAAAGTTCCTTTTGTTAATGAACAGCATGTTAAAATTGATAGATGCGTTTTGGGGTCTACCGCTGGGTGGAATGAACTTGTTCTGAGAACGGTTTGACAAACGACTAACAACTGATGACGTTCGAACGTTTCTCGAACAGTGCCTCGCTGACGACTTCTGTTCGAACTGCAATGCTGTATCCTATACGATCCTATAGGAACAAAGTTATTACAATGATATATATCCCTGTACTTTTTTTATTTGTCTGTTTTTCTTGTATGACCGCGACTCCTGCTTGACCAACAGAGAGGGTGATGTATGTGGCTGCCAAGGAGGATACACAAGAATAGTCCCATGCTAATTGTTTGGGATTATGGACAACGCCCTTAACGTTCACTCCATGGGCATAGTATGATTCCGGCCAGCTGATCAGCCGGGGTAGTGGTTACAGTAGAATAGATTATGAGGCTCTCTCTTTGCTGGACACTGGGCAGAGGCAAGGCTCCTCCTAATGACCTCATTGTGTCTTGTGTGCCAGCCCCCTGATTTTCCGCAGTGCAGACTATGCGATCCATATCCATCTGCATCTACCTCATTGCAAATATACCTATATGCAGTGTGGATTGGGGCAACAAGGCAGAGTACAACTGCAATATGGAGCTACTGTAGATCAAGCCGTGTGCCTGTTGTAGTCATAGAGACTGCCAAAGGGTAAATCTCTGCACAGGGAGACCAGACAGCTGTGAGGCGATCAGTCACTGAGGATTGCTATTGCCTCCACCAAAGCTGTGGCTTCTTTCTCTCCAATGGGACTGTCCCAGCTGGATTGTTTGTTGGCTTTCAGTAAGGCTGGTCTGAGTGTTGGGTCTGCCAAAGTTCCCCATTGTGTGTTGAAATCCATGTAGTTGGGGTCATGTATTCCCACTGAGTACCTCAAGTTGTCTGATAGAGAGATGCTGAGGAGGAAGATAAGAAGGCTGGGAGAGCAATTTGGGTGGCAGTGTGGACACCAATACCACCGAGTCTGACTGGAAGAGTGACTTGATTCCACTGTCAATCATTGAGGGAAAAGTTGACAACTATTTCTAACATGGTATCATACTCTTCAAGCTCTGGGTTGTTGTAAGATGAGGCGCACCTCAAACGTAGGTTAGATTTGGAAGCGACAGGCATCAAGTGAGAAGATAAAATATGTAATGAGCAGCGATGTCACCAATCCTTTCTTTCATCCTCCTTAAGTCAGTAATTTTTTTATCAAAGCTCTCATCAATGGCATAAGCCCGAGTAGGGCTCCGAGGAGAGTGCTCTCTGCAGGCCTTCTCACATCGACTTCAGGGTACACTAGCATATTGTGCACGTTTAAACGTAGGTTAGGTTAGGTTAGGTTAGGTTAGGTTAGGTTAGGTTAGGTTAGGTTAGGTTAGGTTAGGTTAGGTTAGGTTAGGTTAGGTTAGGTTAGGTTACCTCTTTAGGTTGAGTTGGAGAATTTTTTATTGGAAGTATGTGGGTGAAGCAGTTATAGAGTTGCAATTCGAACAGAGGTCGTCAGAGAAGCACTGTTCTCGAGAAATGTTCAAACGTCATCAGTTATTAGCCGAGTGTAATGTTTTCCAATCTTAAACAGGGGGTTTGGTGGCTGCTTGGAATCACTTTTGGCTTTTGTTCATAAGGAGGGGCTGCTGAATCTTTTCTTAGTTTGAATCTGGCTACAGATTATTTAATCAGTTTAGGACAGAAACGAGTGTAAGAGAGTTAAAGTAAAACACATTATTGGGTATGTTGGATTTATAATATAATTGTTTTATGTTGTATTTTGCTCAAGATTTCTGTCATTTATTGCATTTATAACTTTACATGGAAAGGCCATATTTACAATGGATCAGAGGTAACATTAAATATTCATGTTGGCAGTGTGTGGACGAGGAAGGATTACGACTCAGCGCCGAAGACGTCCCTGATAGACAGCGGTGTTTGGAGAGGAACTTTTCCTGGGTGAACAGCGAAGTGCACTTCGACCACGTCGGGATGGCCTACCTCGCCCTCTTCCAGGTCGCCACCTGGAAAGGATGGATCCAAATCATGAACGATGCCATCGACTCAACTCAGGTTTGACTGACCCTGAAGGTTGTGTTGACTGACCTTGAAGGTTGTGTTGACTGACCTTGAAGGTTGTGTTGACAGACCTTGAAGGTTGTGTTGACTGACCTTGAAGGTCGTGTTGACTGACCTTGCAGGCTATGTTGACTGACCCTACAGGCTGTGTTGACTGACCCTGCAGGCTGTGTTGACTGACCCGGCAGGTTGCGCAACACTGCAACAGTTCATTAGTGTTGTGTTAGTGTCAGGCGTCAGATGACATTCCTCTCTTTTACTGACATTTACAAGGGTAGGCCTAAATTACTGATAATTCTCCAGTGTGGAAGGTGGTGTGGTGAGTAAGAGGTGGTGATATGGTGATGATTGTCAGGTGGTGATATGGTGATGATTGTCAGGTGCTGATATGGTGATGATTGTCAGGTGGTGTTATAGTGATGATTGTCAGGTGGTGTTATGGTGATGGTTGACAGGTGGTGTTATAATGATGATTGGCAGGTGATATTATGGCGATTAAGAAGTGTTGTTATATTGATGATTGACAGGTGATGTTATGGTGATGATTGACAGGTGATGTTATGAGATGATTGACAGGTGGTATTGTGGTGATGATTGACAGGTGGTGTTATGGTGAGTAAGAGGTGATGTAATGGTGATGATTGACAGGTGGTGTTATGGTGATGATTGACTGGTGATGTTATGTGATAATTGATAGGTGGTATTATGGTGATGATTGACAGGTGATGTTATGTGATGATTGACAGGTAATGCAATGTGATGATTGTCAGGTGATGTTATTTTATGATTATCAGGTGGTGTTATGGTTCATTTGGGTACTCAGTTTCCACCCCGTGTCTCCCTCTTTCGTGTTCCACCCATGCTACACAATTTGTCTTTGTCCACCCTGTCAATCCCTCTGAGAGTTTTGTGGATGCTGATCATATCTTCCCTAACACTCTTCTGCCGTTCAGGGACGTGAAGTTTCCTTGTAACTCATTCCTTCAGTTCTGGGACTAGTCTGATAGCATACCTCTGAATCTTCACTATATTTGTCTTGTGTTTAACTAGGTATGGACTTGATCCTGGAGCTGCATACTCCAGGATTTGTCTGACATATGTGGTATTCAAAATTCTGAACGATTCTTTAAACAAGTTCTAAGGGCATTTCTCGTGTTGGTCAATCTAGTATATGCCGCTGATGATATCCTTTTGACGTGTGCTTCTGGGGACAGGTTCGGTGTGATATCAACTCCCCAGATCTTTCTCTCTACCTGACTCTTGCAGGATTTCACCTCCCATATGGTACCTTGTATTCGTCCTCCTGCTCCCTTCACCTAATTTCATCACTTTACATTTACATGAGTTAAACTTTAGTAGTCATTTTCTAGACCATTCCTCCAGTTTGTCTAGGTCGTCCTGTAGTCTCTTATCTTCATCTGTCTTGAATCGTCTCATAATTTTTGCATCATCAGCAAACATTAAGAGGAATGAGTCTATACCCTCTGGAAGATCGTTTACACATATTAGAAACAAGATGGGTCCAAGTACAAAGCCCTGTGGGACTTCGCTGGTAACATCTCACTACTCTGATGTCTCCCTCTCACAGTTACTTGTTGTTTCCTGTTGCTTAGATACTCTCTTATCCACTGGAGTGCCTTGGCTTTTACTCCTGCCTGTTGCTCCAACTTTTGTAACAGCCATTTATGGGGTATTGTGTGAAAGGCTTTCGGAGTGTCCAAGAAAATCCAGTCTGCCCAACCTTCTCTTTCTTACCTAATTTTTGTCGCCTCGTCATATAATTCTATTAATTTAAGCCTATGAGGCACGCTTTACCATCTCTGAACCCTTGCTGGTGGTGTGTTGCAAAGTTCTTTCCCTCCAGATGCTCTACGAGCCTTTTACTCGCGATCTTCTCCATCACCTTGCATGGTATACAAGTTATGAAAAACTGGCCTGCAGTTCAGTGTCTCTTGCCTGTCACCCTGTTTGTATATTGGGACTACATTAACTGTCTTCCAGCTTTCCGGTAGGTCTCCTGTTTCCAGTGACCTGTTATACACCATAGAGAGTGGCACACTTAGTGCTTCTGCACCTTCTTTTAGTATCCAAGGTGAGATTCTGTCAGGCCCAACACGTTCAAGGCCTTTGTCTCGTTCAGGTCCAACTGAATGAAGGTGATTAAGACGCGGTGGTGTACACTGTGAGTGAGGTGCAGTGGTGTACACTGTGAGTGTGGTGTGGTGGTGTACACTGTGAGTGAGGTGCGGTGGTGTACACTTGAGTGAGGTGCGGCGGTGTACACTGTGAGTGAGGTGCGGTGGTGTACACTGTGAGTGAGGTGCAGTGGTGTACACTGTGAGTGTGGTGCGGTGGTGTACACTGTGAGTGAGGTGCGGTGGTGTACACTTGAGTGTGGTGCGGTGGTGTACACTGTGAGTGAGGTGCGGTGGTGTACACTGTGAGTGTGGTGCGGTGGTGTACACTGTGAGTGAGGTGCGGTGGTGTACACTTGAGTGAGGTGCAGTGGTGTACACTGTGAGTGAGGTGCGGTGGTGTACACTTGAGTGTGGTGCGGTGGTGTACACTGTGAGTGTGGTGTACACTGTGAGTGTGGTGCGGTGGTGTACACTGTGAGTGTGGTGCGGTGGTGTACACTGTGAGTGTGGTGCGGTGGTGTACACTGTGAGTGTGGTGCGGTGGTGTACACTGTGAGTGTGGTGCGGTGGTGTACACTGTGAGTGTGGTGCGGTGGTGTACACTGTGAGTGAGGTGCGGTGGTGTACACTGTGAGTGTGGTGCGGTGGTGTACACTGTGAGTGTGGTGCGGTGGTGTACACTGTGAGTGAGGTGCGGTGGTGTACACTGTGAGTGTGGTGCGGTGGTGTACACTGTGAGTGTGGTGCGGTGGTGTACACTGTGAGTGAGGTGCGGTGGTGTACACTGTGAGTGAGGTGCGGTGGTGTACACTGTGAGTGAGGTGCGGTGGTGTACACTGTGAGTGAGGTGCGGTGGTGTACACTGTGAGTGTGGTGCGGTGGTGTACACTGTGAGTGAGGTGCGGTGGTGTACACTGTGAGTGAGGTGCGGTGGTGTACACTGTGAGTGAGGTGCTGTGGTGTACACTGTGAGTGAGGTGCAGTGGTGTACACTGTGAGTGTGGTGCGGTGGTGTACACTGTGAGTGTGGTGCGGTGGTGTACACTGTGAGTGTGGTGCGGTGGTGTACACTGTGAGTGAGGTGCGGTGGTGTACACTGTGAGTGTGGTGCGGTGGTGTACACTGTGAGTGAGACGCTGTGGTGTTCACAGGTGGAGTATCAGCCCATGCGAGAGGTCAACCTCAACATGTACCTGTACTTCGTGTTCTTCATCATCTTCGGGTCGTTCTTCACCCTCAACCTCTTCATTGGTGTCATCATCGATAACTTCAATGAGCAGAAAAAGAAGATAAGTATTAAATCCCACGCAGTTTGAGTTATCTTGAGATGATTTCGGGGCTTTTTAGTGTCCCCGCGGCCCGGTCCTCGACCAGGCCTCCACCCCCAGGAAGCAGCCCGTGACAGCTGACTAACTCCCAGGTACCTATTTACTGCTAGGTAACAGGGGCATTCAGGGTGAAAGAAACTTTGCCCATTTGTTTCTGCCTTGTGCGGGAATCGAACCCGCGCCACAGAATTACGAGTCCTGCGCGCTATCCACCAGGCTACGAGGTCATGAGTAAAATGTACATGAGTCAAGAGGGTACACAATGGGGGTGTTGTGAGGGTTTAATTACAGAAAGTTTCTCACACAACCACCATAAACATTTCAAAGATATTACTAATTTAGACTTAGAATTTGAGATACACTTGATAAGATTGCATTATTTCTTAATCATTTATGAATTTAAACATTTATTTTTAAGCATTTGAACAAAACATCTCTTAGAAGGTATGAAGTTTGTTGATATGTCCTGTTACTACTAGACACTGTACCTGATACATGACCCGCATTGTACCTGGTACATGACCCGCACTGTACCTGGTACATGACCCGCACTGTACCTGGTACATGACCCACACTGTACCTGGTACATGACCCACACTGTACCTGGTACATGACCCACACTGTACCTGGTACATGACCCGCACTGTACCTGGTACATGACCCACACTGTAACTGGTACATGACCCGCACTGTACCTGGTACATGACCCACACTGTACCTGGTACATGACCCGCACTATACCTGGTACATGACCCACACTGTACCTGGTACATGACCCACACTGTACCTGGTACATGACCCACACTGTACCTGGTACATGACCCGCACAATACCTGGTACATGACCCACACTGTACCTGGTACATGACCCGCACTATACCTGGTACATGACCCACACTGTACCTGGTACATGACCCGCACTATACCTGGTACATGACCCACACTGTACCTGGTACATGACCCACACTGTACCTGGTACATGACCCACACTATACCTGGTACATGACCCACACTGTACCTGGTACATGACCCACACTGTACCTGGTACATGACCCGCACTGTACCTGATACATGACCCATACCCAACCTCACCATACCCACCCACACCACACCATTCCCGCCCTCACCTACCATACCCACCCACACCACACCATACCCGCCCTCACCACACCATACCCGCCCTCACCACACCATACCCACCCACACCACACCATACCCGCCCTCACCACACCATACCCACCCACACCACACCATACCCACCCTCACCACACCATACCCGCCCTCAAAACATATAATATCTAAGTCTCTGTAGTAGAGAGAGAGGTTATCATGATATACTGGAGATCAAGTATGGTAAGTCTGTCACAGCTACAGTAACTGTGTGTATAGCATGACAGGAGAGAGACAGGTGTCATTATGAAGATTGACAGAAGACAGGAGTGTTCAGTGAGCACTGTTGAGTGACGGAATGTTGGGGTGCTCAGTGAGCACTAGAGATCACCCAGCCTCGGCGTGCTCTTTGATTGTATATTTTGCGGTGTTCAGGCAGGAGGGTCGCTGGAGATGTTCATGACTGACGACCAGAAGAAATATTACAATGCCATGAAGAAGATGGGCGGCAAGAAGCCTCTCAAGGCCATCCCTCGGCCACAGGTACTGTACCCAGGTACCCAGGGTCCGCCTCGCCCTCTCCTCACACTGAGCATCAGCGCCTCGCCCTCCTCTTCCACTGGGCATCACGGCCTCACCGGGCCGCCTTCCCCTCCCACTGGGCATCACCACCTCACTTACACTTCCTGTTTCACTCCACCTTTCACCACTTTTTATTCGTGAATTTTGAGTCGTGTTCTCTGTGCCATATATAACCGAAATGAATTATTTTGTTGCCCTTTGCCATATCACTTAATTTGTTTCTTCTTGTCTCGTTCTTTAATAGTTATTATTACTTAGGTGTACTGTAGCTACCTTTTATCATATTCATATGATGCCCAATCATATATATATATATATATATATATATATATATATATATATATATATATATATATATATATATATATATATATATATATATATATATATATATGACAGTGTCAGACCATGGAGGAAAAATTGAAACAGGAATTTCCTTAAGTACTTTCGTATATTAATACATCTTCAGAAGGAGTTTTACAGGTCAAGTATTGGACTGTTGGTGGGTATGAATATGAGCTGCATCGAATGGGCCAATAGGCCTTCTGCAGTTCTTGTGCATATTTGCGTCCACCTAATTCCATTCATTTGTTATTGTACCTCACCTCACTCCACCACTCTCTCCTGCCTATACATGTCCAATACTTGACCTGTAAAACTCCTTCTGAAGATGTATTAATATACGAAAGTACTTAAGGAAATTGCTATTTCAATTTTCCTCCGTGGTCTGACAGTCACATTTTTAATCACGTGTTTATTTTTCGTGATTTACACACACGCTAAATATATATATATATATATATATATATATATATATATATATATATATATATATATATATATATATATATATATATATATATATATATATAACAAATATTTATATAATGACTACAAATCTACAAAAAATGTATGTAAAATACAAACAGAATAAACGACAATTATAAAGTACTAACCAAAATCTTATAAAAAACTCAAATATTCAGGGGTTAATTTTATTTAATATTTGAGTTTTTTATAAGATTTTGGTTAGTACTTTATAATTGTCGTTTATTCTGTTTGTATTTTACATACATTTTTTGTAGATTTGTAGTCATTATATATATATATATATATATATATATATATATATATGTGTGTGTGAGTGTGTGTGGCAATCAACAGCCATTTAATGCACAACTATATTCTACCCACTTCAAGACTCCGAATCAATATAGAAGTATCAAGAGGAAGTATGGGTATATTTTGGTAGCAGTCTTTCTTGTAAACATATGTTCTTGAATATGACCGAAAAAGTAAGATTAATATTTCTAACACGAATCTTCTCAATATTTTTTACATTCTTCACTGTCGAGGGTAATTGATAAAGTAGTTCTCCAAAATTCATTCTTTTTATTTCTAGTCTGACGCCTAAACGCGTTTCGTAATTCCTTATTACATTTTCAAAGACTTAATTTTCACAAAAAATACATTCATACTTATACTCGTTTTTGGGTGCGGTGATATGGCACAAAAGTTTTGGGTGAGGTGAAACAGAAGACAGAACACGAAACAATGGATATAACTTGGATATGAGAACATAAGAATGGAAGTAACTGCAGAAGGCCTATTGGCCCATACTTCCTCTTGCTGCTTCCATATTGGTTCGGGGTCTTGAAGTAGGTAGAATATAGTTGTGCATTAATTGGCTGTTGACCCAATTATATATAGGTAGCATCCTCTGAATCCTTAACAATCGAAATTTAACTGAACAAAACACCAACAAATACCTTTGTTTACTCAGTAATAAATAGATATCTGGGAGAAAATCCCGGGTACATATTTGCTGTACATATATACACAGGCATGAGTGGAAAAGATACATGCTCAACCGTCGCTGTCGTGCTCGGGAATTGAACCGGGGTTCTAAAGTTGTAAGTGGAGGACATAGACCACTGCGCTACATGACAATAATTGTGACATGTATAAGCCCTTCTCACACCTGGTGTCGGGCGCCCAACCCCATGACATCACAGTGGTTACCAAACTAATCCAACCTTTAATAATCTTCTCACCTGATAATTAAAAACGTTCATAATTTTTCAAATGATAAGTTATTAAATTTAATAATAATTTTATTATACAAAATTTTCAATTAGTTGTTAGAATTAGGATGTTAGTTAAGCTTTCTCCCACAACGAGGTGATGGCGTCAGTGGCACTCCAACCTTGTGGTTAACATCACATCTTTTACTTATATAATTAACTGCATTATAAAATATCGAATGACACTCAAGACAATTAAAATAAAATAATAATTATATAGATTAGTTGATAGGTGGTTTCGACAACAGACTGTGACTGTGGATCTCTATGGCATAGCCAACAGTGGCACAGTCTGTTGTTAGAAAAGCTCTAACCAGCCGAAACGTTCAACACTCCTTTTCCCATTTCTCTATGTGTATATATATATATATATATATATATATATATATATATATATATATATATATATATATATATATATATATATATATATATATATATATATATATATATATATATATATTATATATATAATATGAGGAATGAGAGAGTAGCAGAGACCTTGAACACACTCGTAGACTCAGAGACTATAGCACTCCATGGAAACAAGAGTGTGTAGAGTAGCCGCTACACTACCAACATATGTATTACTGTGTGTGTGTTTGTAGCAAAATGTGTTTGGAGAGTATTTATATAAACTTTAGCTATCCCTTAACTTGTATGTACAATTTACAACAGAGATTGTACACTATTCGTGTTACTATGTGTGTGTACCCAGTCACTCCACCCCAGGCCGTCCCCAACCATCGCACCACCATTACAACACCCCCTCCGCCCCCCCCCCTCCCCCAAAACAAGGAAGGATATACCGAGAAGTGTACTGCATTTCTCGGTGTATATACACTTAGTGTACTTTAGTCCTGGACAATATTCAGGAGTAAAGTATACTTGCTGGTTGGTCAGTAAGCTGTTGTGGTTACCTTAATAACCCTTCAGGGGTTAATTTGGGTGTGAAGCCCAACACCTAACCATAAACCCTCCCCCCTTCCACCCCCCACCACCAACCTTTGCACCTCCATCATCACCCCAACTAATGACCAGATTTCATTGGTATTTGCAGGCTTCTTGTATGTTGCTCAGTGTGTATTACTGTGCCTCTTCAAGCCCGCCCAACAACAAGAGTTCATATAAACGCTTCACAGCTTCCTTTTTAGTGTGTGCCCGAGGCTAGTGGTGTCCCCGTCCTGCCTCCCCCCCCCCCCATGCCCCCTCCATCAGTGGCAGTGTTGACAAACGTCCAGGTGTGCCCCGTAGCCTCCCCACACTACCACTACCTCCCCACCATGCAACTACCACCATCACCCCCAACCTTTAAGCTTCCCTTCCGTAAAAGCTACCGTCTTCCCCAACCCTTACCTGTAACCCCACCTCCACCACTACGTTTCTCAGCCCGACTCCTGGACGACCAGCCCGCCCCTCGCCACAACTGGTGGTGGTGGTCGGGGCTGTAGACCAATAAAGCTTTGCCCGCACCTCCTTAACTCGGCCCATAACCTCGCAACCACCATGTACCCAGCCTGCTTGTGTCACCAGTGTCAGGCTCTACCACCATGCTCAACATGGGGCTCTAACACTGCTCAACATGGGGCTCTAACACTGCTCAACATGGGGCTCTACCACCATGCTCAACATGGGGCTCTAACACTGCTCAACATGGGGCTCTACCACCATGCTCAACATGGGGCTCTAACACTGCTCAACATGGGGCTCAATCACTGCTCAACATGGGGCTCTAACACTGCTCAACATGGGTCTCTATCACTGCTCAACATGGGTCTCTAACACTGCTCAACATGGGTCTCTAACACTGCTCAACATGGGACTCTACCACCATACTCAACATCGTTCTCTAACACTGCTCAACATGGGTCTCTACCACCATGCTCAACATGGGTGTCTAACATTGCTCAACATGGGTCTCTAGCACTGCACAACATGGGTCTCTACCACTGCTCAACATGGGTCTCTACCACTGCTCAACATGGGTCTCTAACACTGCTCAACATGGGTCTCTACCACCATGCTCAACATGGGTGTCTAACGTTGCTCAACATGGGTCTCTAGCACTGCACAACATGGGTCTCTAACACTACTCAACATGGGTCTCTACCACCATGCTCAACATGGGTGTCTACCACTGCTCAACATGGGTCTCTAACACTGTTCAACATGGGTCTCTACCACTGCTCAACATGGGTCTCTAACACTACTCAACATGGGTCTCTACCACCATGCTCAACATGGGTGTCTACCACTGCTCAACATGGGTCTCTAACACTGTTCAACATGGGTCTCTACCACTGCTCAACATGGGTCTCTAACACTGCACAACATGGGTGTCTAACACTGCTCAACATGGGTCTCTACCACTGCTCAACATGGGTCTCTAACACTGCTCAACATGGGTCTCTACCACCATGCTCAACATGGGTGTCTAACGTTGCTCAACATGGGTCTCTAGCACTGCACAACATGGGTCTCTAACACTACTCAACATGGGTCTCTACCACCATGCTCAACATGGGTGTCTACCACTGCTCAACATGGGTCTCTAACACTGTTCAACATGGGTCTCTACCACTGCTCAACATGGGTCTCTAACACTACTCAACATGGGTCTCTACCACCATGCTCAACATGGGTGTCTACCACTGCTCAACATGGGTCTCTAACACTGTTCAACATGGGTCTCTACCACTGCTCAACATGGGTCTCTAACACTGCACAACATGGGTGTCTAACACTGCTCAACATGGGTCTCTACCACTGCTCAACATGGGTGTCTAACACTACTCAACATGGGTGTCTAACACTGCTCAACATGGGTCTCTAACACTGCTCAACATGGGTGTCTAACACTGCTCAACATGGGTCTCTAACACTGTTCAACATGGGTCTCTACCACTGCTCAACATGGGTGTCTAACACTGCTCAACATGGGTCTCTAACACTGCTCAACATGGGTCTCTAACACTGCTCAACATGGGTGTCTAACACTGCTCAACATGGGTCTCTACCACTGCTCAACATGGGTGTCTAACACTGCTCAACATGGGTCTCTAACACTGCTCAACATGGGTGTCTAACACTGCTCAACATGGGTCTCTACCACCATGCTCAACATGGGTCTCTACCACTGCTCAACATGGGTCTCTAACACTGCTCAACATGGGTCTCTAACACTGCTCAACATGGGTCTCTAACACTGCACAACATGGGTCTCTAACACTGCTCAACATGGGTCTCTAACACTGCACAACATGGGTCTCTAACACTGCTCAACATGGGTCTCTAACACTGCACAACATGGGTCTCTAACACTACTCAACATGGGTCTCTACCACTGCTCAACATGGGTCTCTAACACTGCTCAACATCGTTCTCTAACACTGCTCAACATGGGTCTCTAACACTGCTCAACATGGGTCTCTAACACTGCTCAACATGGGTCTCTACCACCATGCTCAACATGGGTCTCTAACACTGCTCAACATGGGTCTCTATCACTGTTCAACATGGGTCTCTAACACTGCTCAACATGGGTCTCTAACACTGCTCAACATGGGTCTCTAACACTGCTCAACATGGGTGTCTAACACTGCTCAACATGAGTCTCTAATACTGCTCAACATACTTCTCTAATACTGCTCAACATACGCACATACATACATACATACATACATACATACATACATACATACATACATACATACATACATACATACATACATACACGCCACAAAGAAAGAGTGGAAGTGTGTGAAGGGTGAGCCATCTCCAAGAGTGAGATGTGTGACCGTGAGATAGAGCGCAAGGTGAGGTTACACATCACGACCTCACCTGCCTGTGGTTACCTCCCGGGGCACCCTGAGGTGCTCCTGGAGGTCACCACAAACATCCCTCAACATCAACACCTTTCACTGCTTCTTTGTGTATTTTTTATTATGCTCCTCGCGAGAAATATAATAATATCGTAAAGTATTAAAACAAACAGTATAAAGTATGACGTAGATTAGGCACGTATTTCCCTTCGATGAACACTGCACTAGCAAATATATGTATGTTATAATATACTTGTTTGTGTGTAGTAGTGTCTGTGAGGCTATTGTTGCTTCCCACAACACCCGCGCCCTCAGCCGCCGCCCATAGGGAGAGTACCCCCACATCTGCGTACCGCTGACGCTCCTGTAGTCCTCTCGCTGTGGTGCACCACGACGGTACACGCATCCTGTAGCGCACAGCAGCACACACGCGATCATAACACTTGAATGAGTGCTCAAATGATCCTTGTCACACTGCCAGATGCACCATATGAGACTGTACACTATATATATATATATATATATATATAAACTATATATAATATATATAATGCGTATGTATGTGTGTGCTTTAAAGTATATCAAGATTTTTCTCGTTTTGGCTTGAAGAATGCCGATGAGCTCTGCAGGATGCGCTTCAGCCCCGCTGGCAGCCACTTACCCGAGATTTTTCCCCGTCCGCTCGAAAGAATAAAAAAATAGTACGACTGTAATATCAAGGTTGGGCACCAGTGTTCTTTCAGTCCCCGGCGCCTGCATTTCCCGCATGTTTGTCTCGTATAAAATATTGCAGTTCGTTCATCTGAGCTCACTAATGACAGCTTGTCCACCTTTGGGTAATTAGAAGGACTGCACTAATTAAGGCGCCTTAGCTAAAATCTTATCGCCAGAAATACCCCATCAGGCGTCGATATTAAATCCAACAACACGACAAAGCTTTGTAAATAATAAAACAAACATATATTATTCAAGAATTCGTCATGAACGCAGGTGGATAGTTTGTCAAAACAATAATAGATTACAATCAGTTCTGTATCTAATCAAACGAGTCGTACGGTCCGTAATTCCCTTAGTTCAAGCTGATCTTTCACGCAATACAGTTAAGAGTCGCTCTCAATGTCCACACATGACGTGATTAACGGAAGTTCATCCAGGTGTGGAAAACCTCGAGCCACTGTTGAACATCAGGAGGCAGTGTTAACACATGGAGCCAGTGTTGAATACCAGGAGACTGTAAGCACTCTGCAATGTATGCAGTGTAAACGGCGTACGACAGTAAGCGCTCCACGTCATACGACAGTAAACGCTCCACGTCATACGACAGTAAATGCTTCACGTCGTACGACAGAAACGCTTCACGTTGTACGACAGTAAGCGCTCTACGTCGTACGACAGTAAGCACCCCTCGTCATACGACAGCAAGTGCTCTACGTCGTACGACAGTAAGCACCCCTCGTCATACGACAGCAAGTGCTCTACGTCGTACGACAGTAAGCCCTCCACGTCGTACGACAGTAAGCGCTCAACATCGTACGACAGTAAGCCCTCCACGTCATACGACAGTAATCGCTCCACATCATACGACAGTAAGCGTTCTAAGTCGTACAACAGTAAGCGCTCTACATCATACGACAATAAGCACTCCACGTCATAGGACAGTAAGCGTTCCAAGTCGTACGACAGTCCATGTCGTACAACAGTAAGTGCTCCACGTCGTGCGACAGTTAGTTATCCACATCGTACGACGGTAAGTGCGCCACGTCATTTGACAGTAAGTGCTCCATGTCGTACGACAGTAAGCGCTCCACGTCGTACAACAGTAAGCGATCTACGTCGTACGACAGTAAGCGTTCCCGTCGTACGACAATAAGAGATCCTCCTCGCACGGTAATAAGCGTTCGGCGTCAGCTACAGGAGCAGTGTTGAAAAAAAATGCAGATTGAACATCGTATTGCATTTCAGAATCGCTGAAGTGTAGAACAGAACCATTTGACATATATATATATATATATATATATATATATATATATATATATATATATATATATATATATATATATATATATATATATATATATATATATATGAAAGCTGAGTTTTTTTAACATTGCTGGCACTACAGCAAGTGAGGGTATGGCCAGTGAACGTGAGAATATTATCAATGGGTACCGAGATTTGGAGGTGAGGGCACAGGGAGCGTGCCAAGGGAACCCAAACCCCAGTTGGGTGCGCTCCTTTCTGTTGAACTATCTAGTTGATCCCGGATCTCAATGCCGACGGCTTATTGTCATGTCAAGAACGTATTCTCCCGCCCTCCCCCCCCCCACCAGCGTCAAGGTTTCTGAGTTTAATCACAAGGTTTCATTGTTATTATTCCTTGAACCTCCCTCTTGTTCTACTGTGACCTTGTTCTCTATGTTAGTCGTTTATATCTGCCTATGTTTCTCTTTCTCACACACACACTCACACTTACACCAAAGGGCCGAAGCTCAACCTCCGCAAGCACAACTCAATACACTCTTCCTTTCCAATTGCTCTCTCTCTCTCTCTCTCTCTCTCTCTCTCTCTCTCTCTCTCTCTCTCTCTCTCTCTCTCTCTCCTCTCTCTCTCTCTCTCTCTCTCTCTCTCTCTCTCTCTCTCTCTCTCTCTCTCTCTCTCTCTCTCTCTCTCTCTCTCTCTCTCTCTCTCTCTCTCTATCTCTCTCTCTCTCTCTCTCTGTGTCTCTCTCTCTCTCTCTCTCTCTCTCTCTGTGTCTCTCTCTCTCTCTCTCTCTCTCTCTCTCTCTCTCTCTCTGTGTCTCTCTCTCTCTCTCTCTCTCTCTCTCTCTCTCTCTCTCTCTCTCTCTCTCTCTCTCTCTCTCTCTCTCTCTCTCTCTCTCTCTCTCTCTCTCTCTCTCTCTCTCTCTCTGTGTCTCTCTCTCTCTCTCTCTCTCTCTCTCTCTCTCTCTCTCTCTCTCTCTCTCTCTCTCTCTCTCTCTCTCTCTCTCTCTCTCTCTCTCTCTCTCTCTCTCTGTCTCTCTCTCTGTCTCTCTCTCTCTCTCTCTCTCTCTCTCTCTCTCTCTCTCTCTCTCTCTCTCTCTCTCTCTCTCTCTCTCTCTCTCTCTGTCTCTCTCTCTGTCTCTCTCTCTCTCTCTCTCTCTCTCTCTCTCTCTCTCTCTCTCTCTCTCTCGCTCTCTCGCTCTCTCGCTCTCTCGCTCTCTCGCTCTCTCGCTCTCTCGCTCTCTTTCTCTCTTTCCCTCCCTCTTTCTCTCTTTCCCTCCCTCTTTCTTTCTTTCGCTCTTTCTTCTCCCTGTGTATCATACACTACAGATCCTATTCTCACCCCACTACACCCACTCTTGTATTGTAAGGTCGCTTGATGCGGAACTGAACAGATTTTCCCTAAAGAATTTCCTTAAAGGAGTTTTCCTTAAAGTTTTGGCCGCACACACACTCTTACCTCTTGACACACTCATGTCTCCACTTGCGTTCACAACATTGTTGTCTTCTCCTCCATTTTCAGTCTGAATAAATCTTTCTCTTCATTTTTATTTCTCCTCTCTCTTATCCTCCTCTCCTATCTTATTGACTGTCGTGATGGCCAGCTGTCTACTTGACGCCTGTGATTAACCTCAGTAGACCACAGCGCTACCATCTTCACATGTCGCAAAGACCTTAGCAGTCACCCCCAACGTTTTCTTGTTTTTCTTGCTTAGTTCCGCCCACAAGCCGTGGTGTTCGAGATAGTGACTAACAAGAAGTTCGACATGATCATCATGATCTTCATCGGTATGAACATGCTCACCATGACTATGGATCACTACAATATGACAGAGGAGTGGAAGTCAGTGTTGAACAACTTGAACCTCATCTTTATCTGTATCTTCACGTCGGAGTGTGTCCTCAAGGTCTTCGCTCTCAGATGGCACTACTTCAAGGAGCCGTGGAACCTCTTCGACTTTGTGGTGGTCATCATGTCCATTCTGGGTACGTAATCTCCGCTTCCCCTCTCAATTAATCCTAATCTGTAACCAGCTTTTTGCTATTTTTCAGTAGTGGGTGCGTATGTGCACCTCCCGTTCTTGGCAGGAGGAGCAGCATGGTGGTTACACCTTCGTCAGGAGCCCTGGCGAGAGCATCGGGGCGTAAAGAGTAAAGTATTGGAACATCGACCCTCTGCCACCACACCCGCTGCTCACACCACTCCCCAAGATTACACTGCACCCACGAACATCTCGCAAAATAGTAGAAGGAAGGAAGAAAGGAATTTTCAGGAGAAAGCGCCAAGCCATTATGACTATATAGCGCTTGAAAGGGGTCAGGATCAGGATAGGGGGAAGGAATGATAGAAGAGACTTGCAACTAACAAGGCTACGTTGTTTTGAGTCTATAGTTATTATGACGGCAGAGTCCGCGAAGATGTCTTTGTGTCTGCGAACTCTTACTGCTGAGTTTACTGTGTACTCTTGCTGCGGAGTTTACTGTGTGTTCATGCTGCTGAGTTCACTGTGTGCTCGTGCTGCTGAGTTCACTGTGTGCTCTTGCTGCTGAGTTCACTGTGTGCTCTTGCTGCTGAGTTTACTGTGCTCTTGCTGCTGAGTTTACTGTGTGCTCTTGCTGCTGAGTTTACTGTGTGCTCATGCTGCTGAGTTTACTGTGTGCTCTTGCTGCGGAGTTTACTGTGTGCTCTTGCTGCTGAGTTTACTGTGTGCTCATGCTGCTGAGTTTACTGTGTGCTTATGCTGCTGAGATTACTGTGTGCTCATGCTGCTGAGATTACTGTGTGCTCTTGCTGCGGAGTTTACTGTGTGCTCTTGCTGCGGAGTTTACTGTGTGTTCATGCTACTGAGTTCACTGTGTGCTCGTGCTGTTGAGTTCACTGTGTGCTCTTGCTGCTGAGTTTACTGTGTGCTCTTGCTGCTGAGTTTACTGTGTGCTCATGCTGCTGAGTTTACTGTGTGCTCTTGCTGCTGAGTTTACTGTGTGCTCATGCTGCGGAGTTTACTGTGTGCTCTTGCTGCGGAGTTTACTGTGTGCTCATGCTGCGGAGTTTACTGTGTGCTCTTGCTGTTGAGTTTACTGTGTGCTCATGCTGCTGAGTTTACTGTGTGCTCTTGCTGCGGAGTTTACTGTGTGCTCTTGCTGCTGAGTTCACTGTGTGCTCGTGCTGTTGAGTTTACTGTGTGCTCATGCTGCTGAGTTCACTGTGTGCTCGTGCTGTTGAGATTACTGTGTGCTCTTGCTGCTGAGTTTACTGTGTGCTCGTGCTGTTGAGTTTACTGTGTGCTCTTGCTGCTGAGTTTACTGTGTGCTCTTGCTGCGGAGTTTACTGTGTGCTCATGCTGTTGAGTTTACTGTGTGCTCTTGCTGTTGAGTTTACTGTGTGCTCGTGCTGTTGAGTTTACTGTGTGCTCTTGCTGCTGAGTTCACTGTGTGCTCATGCTGCTGAGTTCACTGTACTCTTGCTGCTGAGTTCACTGTGTGCTCGTGCTGTTGAGTTTACTGTGGGCTCGTGCTGTTGAGTTTACTGTATGCTCTTGCTGCTGAGTTCACTGTGTGCTCTTGCTGCTGAGTTTACTGTGTGCTCATGCTGCTGAGTTTACTGTGTGCTCTTGCTGCTGAGTTTACTGTGTGCTCATGCTGCTGAGTTTACTGTGTGCTCATGCTGCTGAGTTCACTGTGTGCTCGTGCTGTTGAGTTTACTGTATGCTCTTGCTGCTGAGTTCACTGTGTGCTCTTGCTGCTGAGTTTACTGTGTGCTCATGCTGCTGAGTTTACTGTGTGCTCTTGCTGCTGAGTTTACTGTGTGCTCATGCTGCTGAGTTTACTGTGTGCTCATGCTGCTGAGTTTACTGTGTGCTCATGCTGCTGAGTTTACTGTGTGCTCATGCTGCTGAGATTACTGTGTGCTCATGCTGCTGAGATTACTGTGTGCTCTTGCTGCGGAGTTTACTGTGTGCTCATGCTGCCGAGTTTACTGTGTGCTCTTGCTGCGGAGTTTACTGTGTGCTCTTGCTGCTGAGTTCACTGTGTGCTCGTGCTGTTGAGTTTACTGTGTGCTCATGCTGCTGAGTTCACTGTGTGCTCGTGCTGTTGAGATTACTGTGTGCTCTTGCTGCTGAGTTTACTGTGTGCTCGTGCTGTTGAGTTTACTGTGTGCTCTTGCTGCTGAGTTTACTGTGTGCTCTTGCTGCGGAGTTTACTGTGTGCTCATGCTGTTGAGTTTACTGTGTGCTCTTGCTGTTGAGTTTACTGTGTGCTCGTGCTGTTGAGTTTACTGTGTGCTCTTGCTGCTGAGTTCACTGTGTGCTCATGCTGCTGAGTTCACTGTACTCTTGCTGCTGAGTTCACTGTGTGCTCATGCTGCTGAGTTTACTGTGTGCTCGTGCTGTTGAGTTTACTGTGGGTTCGTGCTGTTGAGTTTACTGTATGCTCTTGCTGCTGAGTTCACTGTGTGCTCTTGCTGCTGAGTTTACTGTGTGCTCATGCTGCTGAGTTTACTGTGTGCTCTTGCTGCTGAGTTTACTGTGTGCTCATGCTGCTGAGTTTACTGTGTGCTCATGCTGCTGAGTTCACTGTGTGCTCGTGCTGTTGAGTTTACTGTATGCTCTTGCTGCTGAGTTCACTGTGTGCTCTTGCTGCTGAGTTTACTGTGTGCTCATGCTGCTGAGTTTACTGTGTGCTCTTGCTGCTGAGTTTACTGTGTGCTCATGCTGCTGAGTTTACTGTGTGCTCATGCTGCTGAGTTTACTGTGTGCTCATGCTGCTGAGTTTACTGTGTGCTTATGCTGCTGAGATTACTGTGTGCTCATGCTGCTGAGATTACTGTGTGCTCTTGCTGCGGAGTTTACTGTGTGTTCATGCTACTGAGTTCACTGTGTGCTCGTGCTGTTGAGTTCACTGTGTGCTCTTGCTGCTGAGTTTACTGTGTGCTCTTGCTGCTGAGTTTACTGTGTGCTCATGCTGCTGAGTTTACTGTGTGCTCTTGCTGCTGAGTTTACTGTGTGCTCATGCTGCAGAGTTTACTGTGTGCTCTTGCTGCGGAGTTTACTGTGTGCTCATGCTGCGGAGTTTACTGTGTGCTCTTGCTGTTGAGTTTACTGTGTGCTCATGCTGCTGAGTTTACTGTGTGCTCTTGCTGCGGAGTTTACTGTGTGCTCTTGCTGCTGAGTTCACTGTGTGCTCGTGCTGTTGAGTTTACTGTGTGCTCATGCTGCTGAGTTCACTGTGTGCTCGTGCTGTTGAGATTACTGTGTGCTCTTGCTGCTGAGTTTACTGTGTGCTCGTGCTGTTGAGTTTACTGTGTGCTCTTGCTGCTGAGTTTACTGTGTGCTCTTGCTGCGGAGTTTACTGTGTGCTCATGCTGTTGAGTTTACTGTGTGCTCTTGCTGTTGAGTTTACTGTGTGCTCGTGCTGTTGAGTTTACTGTGTGCTCTTGCTGCTGAGTTCACTGTGTGCTCATGCTGCTGAGTTCACTGTGTACTCTTGCTGCTGAGTTCACTGTGTGCTCATGCTGCTGAGTTTACTGTGTGCTCGTGCTGTTGAGTTTACTGTGGGCTCGTGCTGTTGAGTTTACTGTATGCTCTTGCTGCTGAGTTCACTGTGTGCTCTTGCTGCTGAGTTTACTGTGTGCTCATGCTGCTGAGTTTACTGTGTGCTCTTGCTGCTGAGTTTACTGTGTGCTCATGCTGCTGAGTTTACTGTGTGCTCATGCTGCTGAGTTCACTGTGTGCTCGTGCTGTTGAGTTTACTGTATGCTCTTGCTGCTGAGTTCACTGTGTGCTCTTGCTGCTGAGTTTACTGTGTGCTCATGCTGCTGAGTTTACTGTGTGCTCTTGCTGCTGAGTTTACTGTGTGCTCATGCTGCTGAGTTTACTGTGTGCTCGTGCTGCTGAGTTTACTGTATGCTCTTGCTGCTGAGTTCACTGTGTGCTCTTGCTGCTGAGTTTACTGTGTGCTCATGCTGCTGAGATTACTGTGTGCTCATGCTGCTGAGATTACTGTATGCTCATGCTGCTGAGTTTACTGTGTGCTCTTGCTGCTGAGTTTACTGTGGGCTCGTGCTGTTGAGTTTACTGTATGCTCTTGCTGCTGAGTTTACTGTATGCTCTTGCTGCTGAGTTTACTGTGGGCTCGTGCTGTTGAGTTTACTGTGTACTCGTGCTGTTGAGTTTACTGTGTGCTCTTGCTGCTGAGTTTACTGTATGCTCTTGCTGCTGAGTTTACTGTGTACTCTTGCTGCTGAGTTTACTGTGCTCGTGCTGCTGAGTTTACTGTGTGCTCGTGCTGCTGAGTTTACTGTATGATCTTGCTGCTGAGTTTACTGTATGCTCTTGCTGCTGAGTTTACTGTGGGCTCGTGCTGTTGAGTTTACTGTATGCTCTTGCTGAGTTTACTGTATGCTCTTGCTGCTGAGTTTACTGTGGGCTCGTGCTGTTGAGTTTACAATGTGCTCATGCTGCTGAGTTTACTGTGTGCTCATGCTGCTGAGTTTACTGTGTACTCGTGCTGCTGAGTTTACTGTATGCTCTTGCTGCTGAGTTTACTGTGTACTCGTGCTGCTGAGTTTACTGTGTACTCGTGCTGCTGAGTTTACTGTATGCTCGTGCTGCTGAGTTTACCGTGTGCTAGTGCTCCCAGGCTTACTGTGTACTCATGCTGCTGAATTTACTGTTTACTCACATTGTTGAGTTTTCTTTGTACTCATGTTGTTGAGTTTACTGTGCTCTTCTGCTGCTGAGTTTACTGTGTACTCATGCTGCTAAGTTTACTGTATGCTCATGCTGAGTTTTCTGTTTACTCATGCTGCTGAGTTTACTGTGTACTCATGCTGAGTTTTCTGTTTACTCATGCTGCTGAGTTTATTGTGTACTCATGCTGCTGAGTTTACTGTGTACTCATGCTGCTGAGTTTACTGTGTACTCATGTTGCTGAGTTTACTGTGTACTCATGCTGCTGAGTTTACTGTGTGCTCATAGTAATGGGTT